TGTCTGTTTTCCTCACTCCAAACCCCAGGAATTCTTCGATTTTGTTTTTGTTTTCTGAGAGGTGCAGTGCAAGGTGATGAATGTTTAAATCATTTGAGTTTAATTAATAGACAATTTAATCCAACATAGGCATTGCTAGGCTCCAAGCTGTGAAGTCGCTTCCAGAAGTCAAATTGTTCTGATTTTCCAACAAAGGCGTGGGCTCTTCTGTTTCTTTTTAAGTTCTGCAATCCAGCTGACAAATCAAGGCATTTTTCCCATTGAGGTATTTGCTTTTGAAATAACTGTTTATAGAGATGCTGGGCTAAATGTGAACTCTCTTACGTGTATTTGTTTTTAAAACGCTTTGAATCGTTTATAGAGAGTCCCCGGCCAGTGTTCACTAATCTCCACAAGGTGCCTGGGGGGATTATTATACACCTGAGACATGGAGAATTTAACTGAGTCCACATTTGAGTTATTTTCAAAGCACCTACGGTGTGCTAGGAAATAAGGATGCTGGGGGAGGGTATTGCTCCGTGGTAGAGTGCCTGCTTAGCATGCATGAGGTCCTGGGTTCAATCCCCAGTACCTCCATTAAAATAAATAAATATAAACAAATAAATCTAATTCCCCCCCAAATTAACAAAGTTAAAATTTTTTTTAATAAAAAGAAAAGAAGGATGCTCAAGGTAGATTTGGTCCCCGCCCAAAGTCACCGAATAAATCAATAAAATCAATTCCCACTTACCTCTCCTCAGTAGCACTCAGAGCAAATTTCAGTGAAACCACTAAGAAATGACCCCATCACTTTGGAGTATTTATGTCTACTTTAGTATGGTCATTTTTACATTCAGAAAGCTGTATTAAAAAACAAATGATGTTGCCAAGATGCTAAGGTAAAGCCTGCTCTTAGATTGTTTGCTATTAGCTAGTTTGAGGAAACTCTTGACTCCCTGCTTTGTCTCCACAGAATTAGGAATCAGCCGTCGTTGGCGCTCCTGGAAAACTGCCAAGTCCCCCCAGAGGTACCTATGAAGGCATAAAATATATTCTTACTTATTTTATGAACTTCAGTGTTTTCTTTATATCTTACTTCTGGATCAGTGAGAAAAATATGGTCCATGGAACAAACGCAGGAGCTTAAAAAGCAGAAACCGAACCACACACCCCAGAATCCCACCTAGAAGCAGTAGAAGCCACTCTCGCTCTCAGAAGAGGAGCAGAGGGGGTGAGGGAAGGTCGTTGTCAGCTTTGGGGCCATTAAACTATTAGAATTTCTAGCGAGAACGGACAAAAAATGCCTGGTGTTACACAAGGCACCCACGTGACGTGTGCCTGACTGAGAACAACCCGAAAAACAAAACAGAACAATACTTCGTTTTTCCATGTAAACCTAGAAAATATTCTTAGGAAACTAATGGACTACATGGAATTAATTATTTGTTCTTATGAATAACACAGCTACCAGTTACTGAGTATCTATCCATTCTGTTACAAGCACATGCTAGATGCTTTACATCCTTGACTGTTAACTCCCTACAACCACCTTATTATAATTATCATTTCTACTTTTAAAGATGAAAAATTGAGTATCAAAATTAGGTAACCAGATTTTTAAGCTGTTTATCTAGTTAGGGATGAGTGAGGGGAACCAACTGTGAACTCTTGTGGATTACCTGTTTTATTAATTACTTTCAGTAGACAAACAAGTGAGTGGACTGTTTAAATCATTTGTGATTTTAAACAATTTAATGAGCATAGGCAGTATTTCATCACAGAGTCAGCTATTAGCCTTGAACCTAAGAGTACCTGAGTACTTTACGAAAAAAATCTTGAGCCACCACCATAATATATGCGGGAGTTGATTGAGACCGTTATTTCTATTACTAATTTGTAACTAGATACAGACGCTATTTGCTGACCATACTGCTGGGCTGTCAGTTAGTTAAGGATAAAATATTCTTAGCCTTTCCCTCAATGCCTTATATTAGATGTAAGTTAGAGTGGGTAAACAAAATAATGAGATATTCCTGTAGGTTTGTCTTTTAAGTTTCAGAATCAGTGTGGCTTACAATTTTGTGCATAAATTCTTCTATTAAAAGCTTACTTTTAATTGCCTAGCGGAGACAAGTTACAAATGAAATCAGTAGCAGTGAACAACTGCCCAGATAAATTGTAATCCTTCGAGTCTGATTACAAATGCCGACTTCAATTTTCAACTTCCAGCAAAGAAGGGCAGTAGCCAGGGGAGCCTTGCACCTGCTCGGATTCCCAATTGCAGGCGTGAATCTGCCTCTGAAGGGGCCTGGCCTCTGGCAAGACCACAAGGTGACAGTGCCGAGAATGGTCCTTTCACTTCATTGATGTGGGGAAGTAGAAACAAAGAGGGTGAGAGAAGTTGTCAAAAGGTTAGTGATAAAGAGAAATCAAAGGGTCTTTAAGGACAACCACCAAAAAAGCTCTTCCTTTAATATATCCTTTCCATGGAAAAAAAAATCACCACTTCCAGCTCATCACATAGCTTAACAGAAATGAACAGGATTTTTTAATATTCATAAATTATAATGTCTCCGTTTTATAGGTTAAGCAATGACCTCTTCAGATATTTATATTACCAAGAAAAAAGGCAGAGTAGAAAAAAACAATGTTTTCGGATACTCCACCAGCTGCTCCCAAAACTCAAAACTGACAAACATGATAAATTAGAAATTGCAGGAGAGTAGTTAATATATGGTTTGAGACTCTTCCGATAGTAATAAAATTAAGCATAGTACTTTTTATGTTTGCTGTATCTCAAATTCAGAATTGTTTGGATGTATTGATGCTTCTGAAGTTCAAAAGTGGGAAGATGATAACTCTCTTTAAAATCAGTGTCATTAACAAGATATCCTTAGGAAATACAACTAGAAATAATTTCTAAACCAATATATTTCTGAACATATGGTCTTAGATTCACTAAGAACAGAAGATTTCATAGGAAAAATTATTACAGTGTCAAGGTCTCTGTCAAATCTCTTTAACATGTAATTAAATACAGTTAACTGTTTGATTAGATGTGATTTAAAGAAGTATCAAATACTCTACAGAAAACAGTTGAGAACTCACTTGTGAGATGCAACACCACTGACATGTATGCCTTACTGGCCTCCACATCTAAAATGACCCCAGGGACATTGCTGATCTGTGCGTTAGTGTGTGTGTGTATGTACAAGGGACATTGCCGATCTGTGCGACTGTGTGTGTGTGTATGTTTGTGTATGTACAACAAGTAAAAGAGAATCTCTGATTTCTTTCTATTTTCTTCATTTCTATGTCATTAATTCTAAGTCTGTCTTTTGGCTCAATTTTTTTTCTCAGAAGAATTGACCCATTTATGATTTTTGTACGGCAGTTTGTGTTTTCAAGTTAAACGTCATATGTACAGCGTACTCTTTATGGTCAACAAAGGCTTATAACTTTCTCATTCTATAAAAAGTCTGTAGAGATGATAATTATCAATCCTTTCCTAATGCAGTCTGCCCCTTTATATGATGTTATTTATAATATCAAATTTTCCTGCATGTAAGTTTGTACATGTATTTTTGTCTATATAATTTTCATGTATACTGCATATGATAAGGTAGAAATAACTAAATTTATGATAACTAAGAAATACAGGGAGAAGAATGGATAAACAGTGTAGTGTGTGCAGACAGTGGAATACTACTTGCTAATAAGGCTAAATCATTGATACAGGCATGAATCTCACTAACATTTGCTGAGTGAAAGAAACTAGACACAAAAGAATACATACTGCATAATCCTGTTGATATAAAAATAAAAAAGGCAAAATCTATGATCATTGAATTTAAAAAGTGATTGTGGAGTTGGGATGAGAGAATTGGCCAGAAAGGAACAGGAGGGGACTCTCTGGGATGATGGGAGTCTTCTATAGCTTGGTTTGGGTGGTGGTTACATGGGTGTAAATGATGGTGAAAACTCACTGAACAACACTTGAGGTCTGTGCATGTTATTACATGTAATGATATCTCAATTTTTGAAATGTAATAAAAAGAGAAATAGAGGAAGCCACTGTGTCTCCATCAGTTTTTGACAATGGAAAAAGTAAAGAGTTTTTTTAATCTAAATTATCTTGCTAAACTCTCTTCATTTCTCTCCTGCCATAATGGTTCCTCTGTATTAATTATCTATTGCTGTATAAAAAAATCACCCAAAACTTAGTGGTTTGGAACCACAATAGTTCTTTATTATTTCTTGGTTTCTGTGAGTCAAATACTCAAGTAGGGTACAGTGGGGATCATTTGTTTCTTCACATTTTCTGAGGTCTTGGCTGAAGACTTGAAGACTGGGCCTGGAATCATCTGAATTTTTGCCTGGGGCAGGAAAATCTGCTTTCAAGGTGTCTCACTCCTCTGGCTGGCAAGCTGGCTGCTTCTCATGTGGCCTCTCCATGGGGCTGGTTGAGTGTCCTTACAACATGGTGGCTGACTTCAACAAGAACGAATGATTAAGAGACTGAGAGAACAGGATAAAACTTGTCCTTTTTATGATGCAGCCCCAGAGGTCACCTAGCAACACTTGAGCCACAGTCTCTTTAGAAGCAAGTCAGCTCACATTCAAGGAGAAAAGAATTAAGAAGCCATCTATTCAAAGATGGAGTACTACAGAATCAAGGAGTATCAAAAACATGTTTTAAAACCACCACATTTAGGTATCATCACATCGGGCTATGATTGATACACCAAAAAAATTACACAAATTTAATGTATATCTCTTGATGAGTTCGGCTTTTTATTTCACAGAGAAATGGCATTTATGCTACACATTCCATGGCTTCACCAAAGAATCCCAAACCTAGCCAAGGAGCCCAGACTTCTTTCCTTAGCTCTAGATCTGCAAATGTAGATACCAACTCACAGCTCCACTGAATATCCCAGATGTAGCTCCGATTCGCCCTGTCCTTGAACTCCACCGAGAAATCAAGGAAGATAAACACAAAGTGTCCACAGACCTGAGCGGCAAGCTGGTCACTGGTTGCCTTTGCCAAGAGCAAGCCCACACAGAGTTTCAAGATTACGGTGAGTTTAAGAGTGAGTGGGAGGTGATGAAGGGCGGAGGGGGGAAGGTATCTACGGAAAAGCTTAGCTGTGAAGGGAAAGAAAGGGGAAAGAGGTAGCTAAAGGGATGATATAAAGTTGAGGAAAAGTCTGCTGCTCTTTTCTTGGACAGCTAATCAGGTTAAGTTTCTTAAGGTGGGAGAATTAGTCAGAAGGGAAGTCCCTTCACAGGCTGAGATAAGAGGAAAGAACGTAAGATTAGATAAAACACAGTTAAGTTGGCAGGTGTGGGAGGAAGCCAGTTGAGAGAATTCCTATCTTTTGGCCTCTTTTAGGATATGTATACAATGAACATAATACCAACATTCTTCTAAACTACGCAGATTTTAGATACACAGCCATTCTCTTTCTGTAGCCTGTCCCACGGCACATTTTCTTGTTATAGCTCCTAAGTATAGGCAAGTTTTAATGAAACTACTTCATTTTCTGAAAAATTTCTCTAAAAGAACAAAAGCATAGTTTTCTATAAATTACAATAATAATGGAATGTATTTTCATAGGTTACAAAGTATTTTATAGGTTACAAAGTACTCAGATTATTACTCTTTAAATCTAACCAAAACCCTATGAAGTCAGTTTCTTCAGTGGTTAAGTGACTTGTTCAAGGCTACATCTTTTCTTCTTGCTGTAAATCCAGTACTATTTCCATTTATATTTTAGCTGAATGACTTGGATTTTTTTTAGCTTTATTGAGATGTAATTGCTAGACAAAAAAAGTTGCACAGATTTAAAGTGTATATCTCAATTAGTGGGATTTTTATTGCGTAGAGAAATGGCATTGATACACTCCACATGTAGGCAGTCATGCATGATGAGGGCAAACGTGTGATAACACGTTAATCGTGTGTGTCGGGTGCTACGCTCCCGATTCCTGTGTGTGAGTTTTTTCCCCACACCACCAAGCAATTCTCCAACACCAGCTGGGTGACCTACAATTCAACTCAATTCTGACACTGTCTACCCAGAGACAGCATCAAATTCTACAGGTTAAGGGCTCATTCCCCCAAGACTGCCCCCAGATCAGATGTTAATCACTAGTCTGGGGTGTAATCTGTGCTGCTGACCAGCTGTTTATAAATCAGAGGTCTCTACCACCCGCTCCTTGGGGTTGGTTAATTTCCTAGAGCAGCTCACGGAACTCAGGAAACTAGTTTATTCACTAGATCGCCGGTTTATTACAAAGGATATGAAAGGATATGAATCAACAGCCAGATGAAGAGATACATAGGGCAAGGTCCCCAACAAAGGAGCTTCTGTCCCCGTGGAGCTGGGGCCTGGTGTGGTGACACGTGGAAGCATTCTGGTTCACCAGCTTGGAAGCTCTCCGAAGCTAGTCTTTCGGGGAGGTTTTATAGAGGCTTCATTACATAGGCATGACTGATTAAATCAACGGCCTTTGGTGAGTGGGTCGACCTCCGGCACTCCCCTTCCCGTCCCTGGGGTGGGGGTTTGGGGGGTGGGAATGAAAGTTCTGACCCGCTAATCACAAGAATGGTTCTCCTGGCAACCAGCCCACATCCTTAGGTGTGTTCCAAAAGTCATCTCATTAGCATAACAGATGACACCTTTGTCACTCTCATCACTGAGGAATTTCCAAGTATTTTAGGAGCTCTGTGCCAAAAAAGGGGATGAAGACCAAATATATATCTCTTGTTATAAATCACAGTATCACAAGAGCATACAATGCTTTGTGCACAGATATCCCTACCAAGTCCCAGGG